CCCCTAGCGTCTTCCTCGTCGGAGGACACCATGGAATCCATGGTATCCGTGGATTTTTTTTGTGTATAAAATTATTACTGTAGAATTATATTTGCTAAGGTCACACGAAGGTGTCACTCATCCGTTCGTTGCGAAAGCTTTGGCATTGTAGGATGACGTTATATTTGCTAAGTTTCGAGGCTACCCGCATGTGATAATGGAGATACATTGACATTACCTGGTCTATCAATGCACTTCTCGTTGTAGCTCCCTGTTGGTTGTGGCGATGATTCTTTTAGAAGTCGGAGAGCCTGTTCCATCATTTTGAACTTTTGTATTTCAACATGTAATTAAACAGATTAGCCAAATCAGCCATCTCCTTTTTTTGTTGAATCAAGCTCTCTGAATTCCCCACAAAAAATAAGTCTTAGCTAGAACAAGGATATCAATTATGTTCACCCGAACATGGAATAAATTTAGAGTAATGTCCAGTTCTTCTGACAGCTTATGGCATAAGGTACCCACTTCCCAACTTATCTTATTACAGAAGTCACCAAAGCCCCCCAAAAAATTGAGGGTGGCTTTCAAAATAAGTTGAGAAGGGGACAACTTATTTTGGCAGCCACCAAATAAATTGGACTTAAATAGAGTAGGATAATGGATACTTTGTCACATAACATGTAAAAAAGAATCATACACATCCGCATATAATTTAAATGAACTAGCCCTGTAAGTGCAAAAGACACATGATACAAAACCAGCCTGAGCACTACATCATCATATAGTCATATAGTATTATTAATCTGAAAAACTTCCCCCGCAAAAAAAAACTGTAAAACTTATAAGAGCTCTTGGCGACCAAAGAATCCGGAGGCTTCAAACTTCCAAGGCGTTCAAATCCCTATGTCAAATAAATAAGCTTGAAAAAGTGCAACACAAGGCGCTCGTGGCCTAATGGATAAGGCATTTGACTTCTAATCAAAGGATTGTGGGTTCGAGTCCCACCGAGCGTGACTAATTTTTGCTGTTTCTGTTTAATTTCCCCCCTTATCCACACTTATCCATTTCTTTCGTACAAATACGACACAGCAAAGCTGAGTTTCCCGATGCTGAGTTTACACTAAATCAAAGAGACATTGTTTACCAGCAAAGCTGAGTTTCCCATTTCTTTCGTAAAATAAAAAGCAAAGCTGAGTTTACACTAAATCCATGAATCGGCAAAGAGACATTGTTCACCAGCAAAAATAAAAATAAAAAATAGACATTTGTTAGTGCTCATTATGGATGATGGCTCAGGCGCTCGAAAATTCCCGGGCTGTTTGCGAGGCGACATCTTGAGGATCCTGTGCTTATACTAGAGATAACATGTTGTAAGCGAAATTGGGCTAGGTCCCATTTGTGTTCCCTATGTAAAAATGTTGAAACTGGGAGACCATTGTTTTTCATGTCCAGTTTCTACGGGTGGTTCGGGGATCTGTTGGTGTTGTGCCAAATACTAGTAGTTGTTGTCTTTCTTCTCTGCTAAACTTCTTATTGGCTTCATGTTTTCCTCCCGGTGGGGATCGTTTGTTCATGCTGGGCATTTCTGCTATATGCTGGGCTCCGTGGTCCGTGGAACACAAGAAACATGGATTACCTTTGATCATCATGTTATGTCTTCTCTTAGGTAGTGTTCTGTGCTTGTTCCTCTGCTGATCTGTAAGAACTTGTTATTTTTGTTTTTAATGTTAAGGTGATAAATTTCTCGGTGCTGGTTGTTTGTCGTGGCTTGTTTTTGGTTCTCTCTCTATATACATTTTCCTCTTCTTTCTTTGTGTGCTATATGTTGCGAATATCCATTTCTAAGCCTAGGCTCATCTGCACCCGGTGAAGAGAAAATTCGAAAACAAAATTGCATGGAAGATAATTTGATGCGTGAGGTGCGCTTCAAATTTCAGATTATTTGAAGTTCAGGCAGAAACGATACAACACCAGTGTTTTTTTTTTGAATTTTCTGTTCATCGCGGATGTAGCTGAGCCTGGGCAGCGAATCGCCTCGTCCTACATGTTTCAGCTGTGGTGTTGTATCGTCTTCTTTTTTTTCAATAAATTTGAAAATGGTTGGTGTTGTATCGTCTTCTGTTTTTGCAGTGATGAATATATTTGAAAATGGTTCAGGCCCGCTGTTGCCTGCCATGGTCACCGTCAACAACAAAAAAAAACACTTCGGAGGAAACAAAAAATTGTGCCCAAATTTCAACAGCAGTCTATTAGCGTCAGTAGTCAGATGCTACTACAAGCAGCATCCTGAACAATTTATACTAGCACAAGAAAGTATTTGTCCAGCAGCACAGGCCAAAAAATGTCTGATCAGTTCCACGAAGAACAAACCGTGTGCAGCAACTGACATGAAACAACAGCGAAATTAAGTCGGGTGGATCAAGTACAGCATCGTTACCAACACCAAAATATGTATCCTACGAAACTTTGCTCTTTCTAACCCCAAATGCTGTGTGTTCATTATTATTCCTATGATTGTCAAGAGCGCCTATATGTCCTGCTGCTAGATCTTCTCTTGCTTTTCGCCTACAAGGGGGAGCATCTCCAACCGGCTTCTCGGGGTGCGCGGGCTTGGGGAGGCGGCCTGCTGGGAGATCAAATGCCTCACATAGCCGTAGAAGGTGCAGCCGACGAGCGTGATCCCACACCCCACGGCGTTCATGGCGGAGATCGGGTTCCGGAAGATCATCCAGGAGATCAGTACCGCGACAGCCACCTACAAACCGATCATGGTACCAGTTTGTCAGTGCCAAACTTGGACTGGGGAAGCAGAACAAAGCGGAATAGAGCCTCACACTCTTACTCTCACCTTGAGATTGCCGGCTACATTGAAGGTCACCGCTGTCGTTGAATGGATAACATAGAAGATGGAGAAGTTCAGGCAGAAGGCGAGAACTCCCGAGGTGATTATGATGACCAGTGCAGGGACGGTTGACTCGTATGTGTACAGCCAGTTGATTACGCCGCTCCCTTCGAGTACGATCGCTGGTATCGATAGTATCATGGTGGCAAAGGGTGCCATGTAGTACACTGTGTTAATGCTGCAAAGAAGAAAAAGAACAGCAAATCACCTCACTAGAAGGAAAATGTGCAAGATCGTACTTGATTGCGGTACTATAAAAATAGCAAGAGATTCTACATAATAATAATGATGACAGCAGCGGTATTTATTCCATTATCTATGATAATCTCTGATGACAATTACTATGAAACATCACATGACAACAGCCACCCTTCCCCTACACCTTAAATTCTTTGTTGTAAAACTGAGACAGATTGGTATGTAATCATTTCTTCTGTAAACTGATCAGATCAACTGTTTACCTGTCAAATTTGTATCCATGGAGCAGGGATTCTGCCAAGATGGTCTTTGTAGATGTGGCAAGGCAGCCAACCATGGCAGCGCAAAAACCAAACATATTGAAGCTTAGTTCAGTTACTGAAGTTAAGAGGATTCCACCCACAATTGGAATCAAAGAAGCCCATATGCGCCACTCAAAATATTTCCTCCAGACCAACCACTGCAGAATAACTGTTCTTCAATGAATCAGAATATGCGACAGCAGTCGTGAAAAGGGCATGTTGAATGGAGAGCAAGAAATGGGAGAACCTGTTGTTGCAGGAGTGAAGGATTTTATGGTCTGCATGAAAGAGACCGGGATGTACCGCAGGCTGATATTTCCCAACACTATGTTTATGCAGAACACAAATGACATGGGGAATATCCTTTTCCAGCGATCCTCGGGGGCGACCTCGATGAGTGGTTTTACTTTGAGCACTTTGATTGCGATATAGGCTCCAATAGAAGAGCATATGAAGTGGACACACGACACGGTCAGAGGGAATTTGAACTCCAGTTTCTGCATCGAAGAAAAACTTCAAATCATCGAGAGCAAGGAGCAGATAATTTCTTTATTAACGAGGATAATTTCTTTATTAACGAGGATAGTGCCAGTGCCAGCAGCAGGATGTTGTATATTTCTAGTCCAAGAAATCAGACTTGTACTTGACAACTGAATGCAAACATAAAATAAGCCCCCAAACAAAGATGGTGGAAGAAGCCCAGGGGGAATATTCATCCATATGTCACTGGAGGTGAAATATGTTTAGATTCATCTTGTTGTCAAACATATCAGTACAAAAAAAACTCTGAATGAAGCCTGAAACCTGGCATGTTGGTTTTTTAGATCATCAGGGCATGTTGGTTTTTTAGATCATCAGGGCATGTTGGTTTACCCTCTAGTTTAACTCTGAATAAACTAGCAATCAAACACATGAACGAAAGGAAGGACTTGAGGTTTTGTTTCTCCTCCTAAAAGTTCTTTTTTTACCATTGGCAAGGAAACCTAATCCGATAACTCCTTTTTTTTTACATTCGTGGCATGATAAATCACTAGCTAATCTGCACCTGAAGGCACGGATCAACCCATCAAAACACGAGGAGGCGCACATGAGGATGAGGAGGAAATAAAAGGTAAATAAAAAAGGGGGATGGAGAAGAGTTGGGACCTGGAAGATCCACTTGTTGATGATGATGACGGTGACGTTGAAGCCCCACCATTGGAGGATGGCGAGCACCGCCCGGACCGTCGCCACGTTCCCCATCTTCCCATCCTCCATCGCGCCTCTTCCGAAAGAAGATGAAGAAGAAGGCCAAGGCCCAGGGAAGAAACCGAAACCGGCCGGCGTTCCGGAACCAATTAATCAATAATCAATTAATCCATCGAAAACTCCTCTCCGGACGACCCATTCTATAAGGCATCGGCGGTTCTTCTAGAAGGTTCTAGAAAGCCGAGAACTTGAGGCGGCGCCGTCGATCTCTTGAGAAGAGAAGGAAAGACACGAGATATGGGAGAAAGAAGAGAAGAGGGTACACAGGCCAGGATTGGTCCTGGTTTTAGGTTGAGAGCTCGGTTTGTGTGAAGGAGGGAGAGGAGAGGCTCTTCCCTGTCATCATGGAACGCGTTACTGCTTTCCTTACCTTCACGTCATGCTTCTATCCTGGCCTGGACACGTGGCATGCGAGATAATGACAGACGATTGCAAACGAGATTCGCCACTGCAATTAGCAAACAATTTAACTCCTAGGATTTGCCGCTCCGAATCTCCTGTCAAACCCTGCAGTAGCAGTACAATGCAATGGGCTTTAGAGTAGGCGTTTGTAAAAGGGAAGTGTTTACAAACGGCGCACCGGCCGAACCGTTCCGCCGGTTCGCACGCCACGCTGGCAACGCGCCCGCGCGATCCCCGCCTCCTTCCTTACGTGCCTCCATCCCCTACCTTCAGCCTACGTGCGCGCACCTCCCCTCCCCCGAGCTGCGACTGGGCCTCCACGAACTCCATCGCCGGCGGCCAGGCGCTCCCTCGCCGGCCGCCATGGCTGCCTGCTGCCATGGCCAGATCCATCCCTAACCTACAGCCTTCAAGGGCGCGCATCCCCTCCCCTCCTCCTCCTCCCGGGCAGCGGCTGGGCCACCACAAGCTCCATCGCCGGCGGCCAGGGCGCTCCCTCGCCGCCCACCATAACTGCCTGCCCGCCATGCCCGGATCCACCCCGCGTATAGAAGTGTTGCAACCATCACCTAAAAAAGCTTCAACGGCCATTCAAAAAAGCTTCAACCATAGACATAGAAAGCTTCAATGGCACTGCACAACAAGGGGGAAGCTGCAACCATAGTTGAATTTTGCTACCACCGGCGAAGCTTTTTGCTACATCCATCAGGCGGAGCTCGGACCCTCGCGACGACGACAACGATGTTTTGCTGCAACCGTAGCAGGATTTTGCTACAACTAGCATGTTTTTTGCTACCACGGCAACCGGCGGAAGCAGCGACCAGCAATGCTTTTCCAGCAAATGATTTTTGTCCCGGCAAAACCCAGAGCTGGAACCAGCTTTTGTTTTTGCTACAACCTGCAAATCGAGAGCTGGAACCAACAACATTTTTTGTTGGAATCAAAAGAAGCAGGGGCTTCAACGGATGTACGTCAGAGCTGCAACCAGTGCTGAAAAATGCTACATCCGGTAGCCACGAAAGCTACAACCAGCTTGAAAAATGCTTCAACTGGATATGAGGTAGTTGGGGGTCGGCATCTCGCAGCGACAAAAAGCTGCAACCGGCTTGGAGGAAAGCTACAACGCGCTTCTAAAAAAGCTTCAAACCGAGAACGGCTAGCTAACAATGGTGAGCGGCGGCGACGGAGCTGCATGGGCGCGCGGTGCTGCGACGGGCACGCGGCGAGCTATGATGGCGGACTGCGACAATGCTGGAACCCTCACCCGGCGGTGCTGCAACCAGAGGGAGGGAGACACGCCCGGCCCGACGGAGCTGCATACGGCGAACGCCCCAGGTGAGCTGCGACGGCGAGCAGCCCCGGCGAGCTGCGACGGCGAGCTGCGACGGCGAGCGGCCCCGGTGAGCTGCGACGCGGCGTCCAAGGGCGAGCACGAGGAGGCTGACCCGCGGAGATCCGTTTTTTTCCTGCGTTTACGCGTGCGTGCGGGAGGAAGAAGAAGCCGGGGGCGATTCGTTTTTTTTTCCTGGATCCAACGACCCGCGCGGCTCACATCCAACGGCCTGGGCTAGATCGGCCGAAACTTTCGGCCGGCGCACCGGCGCCTATCAGCGCCCTTTGTAAAACCATAAAATTGTGTTTTCTTAAGCACCGATGCGTATTTTATAGCATAGACCTATTGCTTATATACTCCCTCCGTTTCTAAATACAAGTCTTTTTAGAAATTTCACTATAAAGACTACATTCGGATATATTGGACGTCTTTTAGAGTATAGGTTCACTCATTTTGCCCCGTATGTAGTCTAGAGTGGAATCTCTTAAAAGACCTATATTTAAGAACAGAGGGAGTATATAATTATAATGTAAGGGTACGTTTTCGCAAACAACTCTCTAAGCACATTGCATTGTACTCTTACATTATAAGGTCCCAACAAATAAGTTTACCCATGCAAAAAGAAAAATCAGTTTGCAAAAGTAGGGTTCCTAGGTGTGACAAAATAACACAAAAATAGAGTTAGTTATAACCAAACAACAGCAATGAATAGAGATTGACAAGGTCGTATCATTCGTTCCTTACAAGAGTTACAATGGAACAACTGGCACTAAGTAAGTAAAAACACAACAAATCAAGTGATGTTTCGTGCAAATAATAATAATACAGCCTACATAAAAGAAGCGTTTCATCAGGCGAGACTTTCTAAGTGTCAACTACACAACTGACTGGCTCTGATTCAACTATTCAAGCCAGTGTATATATCATATATGGCCCTCCAAAGAGGGCCAAAGAATAATCATCGTCCCTTCCTTTTCCTTTACCCAGCAAAGCTTGGCCAAGCAACATCTTTGCAAAACGCTGCTCTGCTTATTACTCCCCTCTTGGCCAAGCAATAGCATCATCAACTAGGCTAAGCGTCGTCCGACTGGCTCGCACGCTTGGCGCTTATATGTTGTTGTTTCTTCAGGATCGACTTCTCGTACCTCTGCATCCCCTCCCTTGCCCGCCGCACGCTGCACAGCGGGCAGTACCAGTGGCCCTTGGGGACGCAGGTGCGCTTGGGCGTCATGCAGTACACGTGGTAGGCCTCGTCGCAGCCGTCGCACAGGGTGATCTCCTCGTCGTCCTTGTTCTTGAAGCAGCCCCTGCAGAGGCAGGAGGGGCAGTACCAGCACTCCAGATTCTTCTGCTTCTCCAGCGCGATCTGGCTCGTCCTCAGGCACCGGATGTGGTAGAACTTGTAGGGGCAGTAAGGGTGGCCACACACCAGGAACTGCTTGTCGTCGTCCTCGCACGTGCCACAGTGCTTGCACAGCTTCGACAGGGCGGTCGTGTACAGGTCCGGCTCATTCTCTTCCTCCACACTCGGCACCGAGCTCCCTTCTCTTTCGTCGGCTGCCTCGATTCCGCTGGCAACTTCAGGTGGTTCTATCTTCTTGACGACCTCAAGCTTGTCACACAGAGGACAATCACCATGCAGGCTGTCATGAACATTCTTCTTGGCGCCTGCAGACTTTCCCTTTCCCTTTCCCTTTCCCTTATTGCTGCTGCAGGCAGGACAGTGCCAGTTGTCCGGGATTTGTTTCATAGCAGGATGGAGTCGCTTCACACATTCAAAGTGGTATGTCGTGTCGCATCCATCACATATAAGGCTTTTTTCTTCTTCTGCACTGGTTCCACATTGTTTGCAAGTGCAAGTTCGACCAAGTCCACATGTCCCAGATCGCTTTGGTATTGTAGAATGACCGGAATCACATGGGGAGAACTGTGTGGTCGTATTTGAATCCTTCGGGATTTTCTCGACAAAACCACCCAGACTTGTTTCCTAATGAAATATGCAATCAGTAAAAATTATTAGCTGGATGTAACCATTTTAAAAGTGGCCAGCAAACTGTCCACAAACACACCAATTACCTCTATCCTGTGCTCAGCAGCAACCTCTACTTCAGAAACTCCAGAAGCCTGTAAAGATTATATCATAAGTGTTGCTCAGCAGCAGCATAAAGAGGAATTATAGCAACAAGTTAAGCATCAACAGCAGCTTGAGGTACAGTTGTCCGGAAATACATGTCTCTTAAGTATGGGGGTAAAAACTGCAAACTTACTTGCTTCTGATAGGAAGCTCGTGAAATGATTGGAAGATTGCTGGCTAGACTTGTCATCTCTCGGCCAACTTGTTCAAACTTCTCCCATATCTATATCATGCACAAATATACATACATATTAAAGTATTATTTGCCTGAATGTTTCATGGAATACTTATAGCAAGCAAAAAAAGAGATGAAAAGGAGAAAAGACAAAAAATAAGAAGAGCAGCACACATCTTCTGAGAGGCGTGGGAGGTGGAGCGCTACCGTCTACACAGCTCACCAAATCTAACCATTAGTTGATCTTACCCCAACACATTACAGTTGTTTTTCGCTATCTGTCCATTTTAGTAACGGAAGGAGGAAAATAAAACTTCCTCACTTGGATTAATACTCCAGCATTGAACTGCGCATGCAGAAGAATTATTCGACAATTTTGGTTTACGTGTGCTCACAGATGCCACGGTGAAAATACAGGGACCATTTGAGACACTACAGTGCATAAAAGGCCTACTCTAGGCTGCCAAGCAGAAGTGATGCTGGCGTGTCTCTATTTGATATCATAAAACACAGTAATAATCATAGTAAAAGAAGGCGCGACTAGGCTCTAGGCGATAGCAAAACGCCTAGCACTGAATTGTGGTAATAATCAAGAACACGGCTACTTTTTCCAATGAATGAATGAGAAATAGCTACCTGCTGGATGTGGTCGTTGAACAGAGCCGGGTTCCGTGCATAGTTTCCATTTCTCATGTTGGCGTCAATTTTCCCCAAATCAATGACCTCATGAACCTTACTCACATGGAAAGTTCCAACTAGCAAATCACACAACATGGCAAACTTCTCTGAGACAAAAATGTCAAGGAGAGCATTATTGCACATTGCTGTGTTGGCATCCAATGATGCTGCAATCGCATCTTTTAATGCAATAGAGGAGCTAATCTCTTTAGCACCTGCTACTCCAGCAGGATGCTCTTCTGACGCTCCTTGGCCTTTATTTAGGTTGCCCTGGAAATCACAGACAAATTCACTATCAGGGGAAATTCCTATCATAGACATTATACACAAGATTGCTTCTGTTATGAGATATATGTTCTGAACAAGAGCATTATTACTGACTTTTTGCACTGATCGACAGCAATTGTATCTGAGCGCATCTTGTATGCAGCACTGAATCCCTCCACCCTTATTTACACCTGGGGATTGCAGGAAGCCCTCCAACGTGTTCCTCCAAGTAATCCAATGTCTGGGCAGGATCTGGTGGCCATCTTGGCCAGAAGTACCGCTACAGGGGACGGTGGTGGCACAAGGCTGCACACAGAGCAAGCAAAGGAAAAGCACTGAGCATAGTTTTCAGTTATGCAGAACATCTGCAGAGGAAAAGATATTTCGTTTATTGGGTACAGAATTGCTGGGCGGCGGCAAGATTCATGGCATTGGAAGAACCTAGTTGCAAATCTAGGCGCTTCAAAATGAAAGGCGGCTGGTGGCGCCAGAGAGCAAAGACGGCCAGATATTCCAACTGCAACAGCAACAAGGGGAGGGGGGAAGAAGAAAGAAGACGAGCAGGCTAGGGATTGCAATGCTTACCGCTCCGGGGTCGGAGCTGGCGCCGCGGGTGGCCGTGCGGCGGCGCTTGTAGGTGACGAGAACCTCGGACGACGGCTGCTCCCCCGGGGCAGGGCGCTTGGGCGGGGCCGGCGGCGGGGCGGCGCCGTCCTGGGAGGTCATCTTCCGGCACGGCGGCCGCAGCACATGCCCAGCGCAGAGCGAGCCCGTGGCCGGAACCGGGAGCGAAGCCTCGGAGGGGGTGAGAGGGGACGAAGGCAGCGTGGGGGCGACTTTCTAGGGTTTCGGGGGGTCGTTGCGGAGGAGGATTTGGGTTGGGATCTCCCGGTGAGGGGAGGGGAGGGGGGCAGCGGAGCAGAGAGGAGCGGGACAAGGTGGGAGATGAGTTTTTGGAAGAGGAAAAACGGAAAAGGGAAAGCCAGACGGACGGACTGTTGGGCCTTCTGTCTGGGTGACGGACGGACGGCTATCTGTATGGTCCACCAAACAGCTTTGGACATATGCAATTCGGCACGGTCTCTCTAATTTGTATCCCCTCCGGTGCCGGTGTGGGCTGCATCCCCTCGGAGGTGGATGGCGGTGCGGGGGGCAGAGATCGGAGGTGGCCGGCGGTGGGACGGAGTGTAGTGCGACTGCAAAGGAGCAAGGGGTGACGATGGAGGTCCTGGATGGTCAGTGGGGTGAAGAGGAGCGGGCGATGGTCCGCGGGGAGGAGTAAGGGCAAAGGAAAAGGAGGACCGGCAGTCAATGGAGGGGCTCCTGGGTTGGGTAGGGTCGTCGCCACGGGAGGCGGCTGGCGTATGAGTAGCGGTGGAGGAGAGGCGGCGACCGGTGGAAGAGACGCGGAGCAAGGTCGCTCGCGACTGAAGAGGGCGACGGCCGCCTAGCGGTGGAGGAGAGACTCACGGTGGCAGTAAGGACTGCTCCGGCGGTGGCGTGCTCGTCCAAGAAAGAGAGGGGATTCGAGCCAAAAAAAGGCGAGCCAACGAGGCATGAGCGAGCGTGCTGTTTAGAGCAACTCTAGCATATGCTTTATATTCCTGCCCCGCAAAATAACCGTCGATATATGGGAGACGAAAAATCGTTTCGACCAGGTCTCGTATAGGTGCCAAATCTACACCCCCTCCCCCTCCTCAACCAGTTTGCCGCTAGCTCTATCCAACTTGCGATTTAGTGGGAGGGGAACTTCCTCACTTTTCGGGCCGTCGTCGCCAATCCCTCTGGTCCCTGGCCGCCTCTCCTCGCCCACCTCCAGTCACCGGCATGGAGCAACCACAGCCCCTAACTGGCGTTTTCCATGTGTCGTCGGCCCAATCAAAGCCATCGTGCCTATTCCTTCCATCGTCAACATGTCATGTCCCTCGCCATCTCTCCTTGTCGCGCCTCCGGTCGCCGGCATGGAGCCACCACACCTCCCGGCTGACGTTTTCCATGCGTCATCGGACCAATCAGAGTCGTCGCGCCTATTCCTTCTACCGTCGGCATGAAGCGAAAGCGGCAGGGGAACCACGTCGTCCATGGAGCCATTGTCGCCGCCGCGCCAACTTCCACCGGGCCGTGAACTCTCTTGTTGCGGTTGCGCCGGATCAAGGACGGCCGCCTCCTCCATCCCCTTTGTCGAACGCCAAAGATGCAAGCAAAGGGCCCGAGGAAGAAGAAGACGACAGCGCGAGGTCGGGAACCATTGTCGGGGGATTGATTCTGAGCTACGGGAAATCCCCCCAAACCCTGGTTCAAACTCTGGGGACTTGGCTCACAACCACGAGACTACGAGCTACGCACGAGGCACGACAGAAACACAACGAGATACCCAAGTTCGGGCCACCATGCGTTGAAAACTCTACTCCTACTTAGTGAAATTGCTTTGTGGACAGTGCTCTTGGAGCTACAAGATGAGTAGGAGCTCTATGGGGCTAGCAATGGAGAGATTACATGATCCCCTTCTATGGTGGCAGCACTGCCCCTTTTATAGGTGCCTCGGACCTCTTCCCCAAAAATATGAGCAGGAAAGGGTTATCACAGGGCGGCAAATTCAAAGGGGGACAGGCACCGATGCTTATCCTGATGAAAGGCACTCTCCGCCTGATTATCCATGACGCGCAGAGGGCTCCACGATGACCTCCGTCATGTCGCGTCGCCGTCCTGATCTTCTTTCACCAAAGCGGAAGGCTTTGGGACTTGCTTTGGGGCCAGGCAGGCACAGTTGCTCCCTTATTGTTGGGGAACGCAGTATTTTAAAAAAAATTCCTACGATCATGCAAGATCTATCTAGGTGATAACTTGCTTGCCATTCTTCTTGAAGTTCCCTTTCTTTCCCTTGTTCTTTTACTTGAAACTAGTGGTCTTGTCAACCATCAACATTTGATGTTTTTCTTGATTTCTACCTTCATTGATTTCAGCATCACAAAGAGCTCGGGAATCGTTTTCGTCATTCCTTGCAAATCATAAACACATAGGAAATATCATCATACATGATTGCCTCTAGGGCATATCTCCAACAGTCTCCCACTTGCACTAGAGTCAATCAAATAGACAACAAATGCCCATAGCTCTTACATGCCCCTCATGCTTGGATTGTGGAAGCGGCTTAGTCAATGGATCTGCAACATTTGCATCCGTGTGAATTTTGCATAACTCAACATCACCATTCTTTACGATCTTTCGTATCAGGTGATATTTCCGATCTATGTGTCTGGTCTTGTGGTGATCCCTCGGCTCCTTGGCTTGTGCGATGGCACCAGATTATCACAATAAAGGTCCAATGGTTTTACCAATGATGGGAAAATACCAAGATCATCCAGAAAAGTTCCAGATCCAAACACCTTCCTTTGCAGCTTCACAAGCCGCAATGTATTCGGCTTCTTTGGTAGAATCGGCCATCGTATCTTGCTTGGAGCTCATCCAGCTCACTACTCCTCCGTTCATGACATATACGAATCCGGACTGTGATCGACAATCATCTCTGTCGGTTTGGATACTAGCATCGGCGTAACCCCTTACGACAAGCTTTTCCTCACCTCCATAAACTAGGAACATCTCTTTAGTCCTTTTCGGGTACTTCAAAATAGTCTTTACCGCTGCCCAGTGACTCTCACCTGGGTTGGCCTGGTATCTACTTGTTAGGCTTATTGAAAAAGCAACTTCAGGTCGTGTACATATCATGGCATACATGATGGATCCAATTGCCGAGGCATACGGAATCCGACTCATCCTGCTTCGCTCATCAGATGTCGAAGGACTCTGAGTCTCGCTTAGCCTTATACCACGTGAGACAGGCAAGAACCCTTTCTTGGCCTCACTCATGTTGAACCGCTTCAACACTTTATCTATGTACGTGCTTTGGCTCAAGCCGAGCAACCTCTTCGATCTATCTCTATAGATCTTGATGCCTAAAATGTAAACTGCCTCACGAAGGTCCTTCATTGAAAACTTGCCATTCAATGATTCCTTGACCGAGTTCAGCATTGAAACATCATTTCTGATCAGTAGTATGTCATCCACATACAAGATCAAGAACACAATCGAGCTCCCACTTAACTGCTTGTATAAGCAAGCGTCCTCATCGATTTTGATGAAACCGAGACCAGTGACGACCTCATAAAAATGAATGTTCCAACTCTAAGATGCTTGCCTCAACCCATAAATGGATCTCTTGAGCTTGCATACTTTACTAGTGATAGTCGGATCGACAAAGCCCTCGGGTTGTATCATATACATGTCCTCAGTTAAATTTCCGTGAAGGAAAGCCGTTTTGACATCCATCTGCCATATCTCGTAATTGAAATATGTAGCTATAGCTAGTATGATCCTTACCGACTTCAGCTTCCCTACGGGCGAGTAAGTCTCGTCGCTGTCAATTCCTTGAACTTGTCCATAACCTTTAGCGACAAGTCAAGCTTTGTGGATCTGAACATTTCCATCCACATCAGTTTTCTTCTTAAAGACCCATTTGCAGCCAATGGCCTTTACGCCAGGCGGCGGATCAACCAAGTCACAGACTTGATTTTCATCCATGGACTTTAACTTGGATCTCATGGCCTCTAACCATGCCTCAGAATTCGGGCTCACCATCGCTTTCGCATACGTGGTTGGCTCGTCCTTTTCTAGCAACAATACATCACGCACTCTGCGCAATCTTTCCGACCTCCGTGGTTCTGGTGCCGCTTCCACTACGGGTTCCCTGACTGACTCTGGTATGATCTCATCACCCGCTGAGTCGTCCCCGAGTGGTACTCGAATTTCTTCAAGTCGGACCGTCCTCCCACTGGCCTCCCGACTGAGAAACTCTTTCTCAAGGAAAACCCCGTTCCGAGCAACAAACACTTTGTTCTCCTCCCGGTTGTAGAAGCTATATCCCAAGGTTTCCCTCGGATATCCCACGAATATGCATTTGTCCGACTTGGGTGTAAGCTTGTCTGACATAAGTCGCTTGACAAATGCTTCACAACCCCAAATCTTTAGAAAAGACAAACTTGGAGTCTTCCCGGTCCACATCTCATGTGGTGTCTTATCTACAGATTTTGATGGTACCCTGTTAAGTGTGAAAGCTGCAGTTTCTAGAGCGTATCCCCAGAATGACAAGGGTAAATCCGATTTGCTCATCATAGATCGAACCATGTCCAACAAGGTATGATTCCTCCGTTCCGATACACCATTTCTTTGTGGCGTACCTGGAGGTGCGAGCTGAGGTACTATACCTCTGCTTTTCAGATGATCATCAAACTCCTGGCTCATGTACTCACCTCCATGATCATATCATAGAAGTTTTATAGTCTTGCCGAGCTGATTCTCCACCTCGTTTTGAAACTCTTTGAACTTTTCAAAAGTTTCTAACTTGTGCCTCATCAAATAGATATATCCATATCTACTCAAGTCGTCGGTAAAAGTCACGAAGTACTGATAGCCACCTCTGGCAGTTGTGCTCATTGGTCCACACACATCATTGTGTATCAGTTCCAACAGCTCGGATGCCCTCTCACAACTCTTTGCGAAAGGATACCTAGTCATGTTGCCGAGCAAGCATGATTCGCATGTCTCGAACGATCCAAAGTCGGTCGAAGTTAGGAGTCCATCATCATGGAGCTTCTTCATGCATTCTAGACTAATGTGTCCAAGCCAGCAATGCCAGAAGTATGTCGGATTTATCTCATTAGGCTTATGCC